ATCTATATCTGCAAGGTCCTTCCAAAATGTGGTCTCCTTCCTACATTTTCTCCTGCACCTCTCAACCCTGGTTGGCTGTTTTTTCTTTTCCCACAGAATTTTCTCTCTCTTCTCTGCATGTATTAATATGAGCTTCTGGCTTTTATGATATTTCTTTCTGTATGCTATATTCCCTCCCAACTAAATGATGGGATCCTTGAGGGCTGCAGTGTGCTTTCTCAGAGCTCTTTAACACTTTTCATTAAAGTTTTAAATCATTAGTGCTCTTTTTTGGTAACCAAATGTATGCAGATTTATTGGAAAAAATAAAAATTACAGAAATACATCTCTTAAAAAGTGAGATCTATCTTTAGAACCCCACCTCTTCTGCCCAAAGAGAACTGTGGTTAACAGTTTGCAATGTAGTCTTTTAAACTTTTTTTTCACATAATAAACATACAATTTTTATTTACACAAATGGGATTCTACTATATAGGCAACTTTATACCTCCCTCCCACTTAATTAATATTTTTCATACAGAGAGATATCTCACTTTTTTTTTAACAGCCACTTAGTTGATACTAAAGGAAATCAAGCCTGAATATTCATTGGAAGCACTGGTGCGGAAGCTGAAGCTCCAATCCTTTGGCCACCTGATGCACAGAGCCAACTCATAGGAAAAGACCCTGATGCTGGGAAAGATTGAGGGCAGCGGAAGATGGGGGCAACAGAGGATGAGATGGTTGGATGGTTTCACTGACTCAGGGAGCATGAGTTTGAGCTAACTCCAGGAGATAGTGAACGACAGAGAAGCCTGGCGTGCTGCAGTTTATGGGGTCACAAAGAGTCGGACATGACTTAGCGACTGAACAACAACCTAGTATAAAATTATGTGGCTGTAACAGTATTTACCTGTTCAGTCCCTTGTTGAGGAATATGACAGTGATTTCCAGATTTCACTATTATGAGCAATGCTGCAGCGAATGTATTATTCGACATATATACTCTTGGCTGTTCTGATTCACCCACCACTTCGAGGGGACCTTGAAAGACTGAGAAAGCTGGACAGACCACCAAGAAGCTGCCTGGGCCTGAACCAATGTGCTTTTTGTCATAAAGGAGGGCACCAGAAGCAAGAATGTCCTCAGCATCCTACTGGGGGCCGCCGGAGAGGCAACCCTGACCGGCCCTAGTTCATTGTGAATAAGCTGGATGAGAGAGCTCACACACCGAATGATGAGGCCTGAGTGTCTGCCTGGCTAAGGGTCCCACTTGATCCATTCTCATTACCCCAGCGGAGCCTTGGGTCACCCTTGATGTGGCAGGTAAAACTGAATTTCCTGTGGACACTGGAGCTGCCTGCTCTGTTCTGACTCTGCCAGCCGGCCCCCTCTCCATCTATGGGCCACACTGTGAAGGGAGTTGGTGGACAACCCAAGGGAGGGCGATCTACATCTCTCCTTGGCTTCCCAGGTGGCACAGTGGTAAAGAATCTGCCTGCGATGCAGGAGACACAGGAGACTTGAGTTCAATCCCTGGGTTGGGAAGATCCCCTGGAGAAGGAAACGGCAACTCACTCCAGTGCTCTTGCCTGCAAAGTCCCATGGACAGAGAAGCCTGATGGGCTACAGTCCACGGGGTCGCAAAGAGTCAGCCACGACTGAGCACATACTCCATATATACACATAAACATACATTCCATATATGTTGTCTATATCTACAGATGACTTTCGGTAGGACAAATCTTCTGGACATGAAATTACTAGCTGAAATGGAATGGATATTCTAAATGATGATAATTATTGAATATGTGTAGGGAAAATGTCTTGTTTTATGTCTTCCTGTATGTATCCTTCACAAACTCAGTGGTTAAGAGGGCTGGCTCTGGCATCCGACTGGACAGGTTTGTGACTGGGCTTGGTCCCTATGTTTTAGTCATGTCATCTATAAAATGGGGAAATAGTTGTACCTAACTCCTTGTGTTGTAAGACTTAAATAAGAAAATACGTGTAAAGCAATTAGCATTTAGTAAGTACCTGGAAAATAAGTAAGTGCAAAATACATGAGAGGCTTCCCTGATAGTTCATAGGGTAAAGACCCTGCCTGCAATGCAGGAGCTGCAGGAGACACTGGGTTTGATCCCTGGGTCGGGAAGATCCCCTGGAGGAGGAAATGGCAACCTACTCCAGTATTCTTGCCTGGGAAATCCCATGGACAGCGCACCCTGGCAGAGCCTAAAGGGTCACAAGAAGTCGGACGTGACTGAGCACAAGGTATATGGGAGGAAACAATGGTTAATAGGTTCAGATAATTGTTCACCAAATGAACAGGACTGAATAGAACAATAGTAGTTTGAGTAATCTTTCGAGAAATGGATGGTACTTGGCTACTGAAACCAACAGCAACTCTACAAAATGAACAGCTAGCATTAGAAGTGCAATGGCCTTGGAGCAATTTATCTTTGTGCAAAATGAACCAGTCTGAACCAGGATCAACCACTAACCTTGGCCTCTTCAATCCCACACCTTCCCCAACAGAACTCACTGGCCTCAGCTGCAGCCTGGTACCTTATATAATGTGTCTCTAAGGACAGAGAACAATGCACTTCCCTGGAGGGTGGCCTGGCTCAGCACTGCAGGTTGTTGGGGCACCTGGTAACCCAGCCGTGAACACTGAAAATGAATAGAAAGTGCATAAATGGATGGAGTATAAGACTCCATTTAAACTCTTAGGTTCTGGACCAGGAGTCTCCATTGTCATGGGAAGTTTCCTGTATCAATACTAAGATTCTCCACCCTGGGTTCCAGAAACATCTCTGCCACTAACCAGCTGCAAAACCTTGAGCAAATTGTTGAACCTCATTTGCGCTGACACAAGGGAGTGAAATAGTGCTGTGAAAGGCCCTTTTTGACATTCCTTTCCCCACAGGCAGTCACATTTTCAGATGTCTGGGCTGTTTATTGCACTAAAAAAAAAAAAAGCATAAAATCAGTCAATGGAAATATTTTCAAAATGTGTCAGAGAAGAGATGGTCAGTGGACCACAGCGGGGCTCAGACTCAATTGACCATCTTCACCTCTATGGTAGAAGCGGATGGGGGTCTTCTGAGGAAGCACCGGAAATACAGAAGTCAGAGAAGAAACTGTAGTCTAACTGGAGCCAGGTCCTGGCCAGGGACAAGTCTGGCAGTAAACGGGACTTCCCAGTGAAGGATACGCATCATTGGAATTGTACCAGTGACCCTTCTCCCAGTCCAACACGAGTCGAACGGCACCGGTCTTCTCAGGCCTATTTCAAAATCCACCTCCTTCCAAGGACGCCCTCGCAAATGAACCAGCACCTGTGGAGGTACTTTCTCACTGTGTGCCATTTTCATGGCCCTTCCAGGAGGGATACAAGGCTGCCTCAGCCTCTGAGCGACACTTGCATCCTCTCAGTGAACTTTGCCTCCCAGGCATCCAATACAGTAGTGCTCAGGAAATATTTGCGGCTCTGTGAATGAGTGACTCAGGCAAGCTCCCTGGGGGACTAGAGTTTTATGGGTTTTAATATGAACCATAACATGGAACCTGAGACTTTTCCCTCATTGCTCCCACTGGAAACTGTCCGTTCCAGTCGGATTTGCTGGGAGTTGGATGGAATTTTGTTCCTTTTCACGCTGAAAACCATAATCTAATTTTTAGATTAAAAAAATATTTTCATAGCACCTACCTTACGTTCCTCAGTAATTCAAACATTCTACAAATGTTAATTCATTTATTCTTTGCAAGCATCCAGATGTAGAAAATAAGACCAGGAAAGGTTGTCACTTTGCTCTGAGATCAAAGCTAATAAGCTCCAGAGCTGGGATTCAAACCCAGGCCATCTGGTTGTGGAGTATACCCTCTGCCTGAAATGTATGTGAGTAGCAAAAATCTTCATGAGCAGGAAAAAATAAAATTATGTTGATGTATTTATTTCAAAGGAAATGCTCTTTCTCTTGTGTCCCTCTTTCCTTCCTCATTCAAAGCAAATGGTCTAGAGCAAACAGTCTTTTTTCACACCTGAGAGAGCGAGGAGGCTCATTTTTGCTTTGGCAATCAAAATGGAAGAGGAAACTTGTGTGGTTTCATCACCGGTGTTTTCGGGGCGTGTACTCTGCCTGGTCCTGTCTGCCTCCTGGTTCATCTGGCTGGGGCCCCGCTTTCTCCAAGCTTTGCTGCCCCAGGTCCCGGAGACTTTTTAACAGTCTGTCTTTCCCCTGCATCTCTGGGTCAGGGACCAGCCTTTCCTGCAATCCCACCCAGCCTCGACGTCTTCTTAGGTCCTCCCCTGAGTCAAAGCCTTGCAATTAGGACTCCGACCTCATCAACTGCAACTGCATCCGAATCCCCAGAAATCCAGGTCCTCCATCCCGAGGTGAATCCACCGCATTTCTGGGTTTCGAATGTTAGGCGCCTGACCACGCGTACATTTCAATTATCTGTCTTCTTGGTGCGAGGCTGGCGTCAGAACCTGACAGACCTGCCATTGGTAGCCGTGGGACCCAGGGCAAGTTTCCTAACGTCTCTGACTCTCGGTTTCCTCATCGTGGAGGGGATTGATACCCATAGGGTGGCCGCGTGGATCGAACGAGATAAGGCAGAGGCTGCGCCGGCGCCCTTAGGTTCTCTTCGGTCCCTCTCGACAACAGGACTTCACACCTGCTTGTCGGTTTCCCATTCCCCTCCTCCCGCCCCCCTCCAGAGCACACTCCAGCTCCGAGGGCTGGGAGGGCGTCTTGGCGCCACGCTCGGAAAAAAGTCGCTATGCACCCTTAGAACCTGCGACCCCAGCGGGCTCCTGGGGCTCATTCGTGACAACCCAGGAGAGCTGAGATAACTTGCTTCGACCCTAACCCTAAACCTCAGCCCCGCGGTCCCAGATGGCTAAAGACTCGGGGTCCGAGGGAGGACCGGCTGAAGTCTCTGGAGGAAAGGGTTGGGGAAGAAGAAATGGAGTCGAGTGAGCCCGCGCGCCGGCTCGCCTCCCTCCCCCAAGGATGCTCTCATCCCCGGCCCCCTTCCCACTCGGACACCTGCTGCCCGGGCCCGGCGTCCGAGGCAGGGCCTCCCTCCGCCAGGAGGGCTTCCCAACCCGCGTCCCACCTGCGCGGCCGCCCCCCGCCGGCGAGGGCGGGGTGAGGAGGTGCTCCCCGCACCCAGCCTCGGGGGCCGCCCCCGGGCTCCCCGCCCCCGCGAGGTCCGCGCCCCCGGCCGCCCCGGCACCCCTCTCCTCCCCCGGCGGGCTCGGCGGAGCTTTGTACTCACATCCGGGGCTGGGTTTTGCTTTAATGCGAAACGTAATTAACCCGGAAAAAAGAGCCGAGAGACGAGAGAGAAGGAGTGGGTGAGGGCTCGGGGGGAGAAGAGCAGGAGGAGCCAGAGGCCCCCGAGAGTTTGGCGGCGACAGAGACCACCCCTCGTCCCCTCCGTCCCCCCGAGAGCGACGGCCCGGCGGGCGGGAGAGGCGCTTCCAGCCGGATGTAACGCGCGCACCCTGCCCGAGCCCCGGCCCTGCGCGGCGGGGTAAGTGGGGCGCCCGCGCGGGCCGGGGCGCGCGCCGCCGGGGCCGGCAGGGAGGCCGGGCGGCGGGTGGGGGGGTGCCTGCCTGCGGACTCAGGACCCCAGGGCGGGTCGCCACCGCCCCTGGCCGCCTCCGATGGCCCCCGGGGAGCCCGCAGGGCAGCCCTCCCCGCTTCGGCCCTCGGGAGCGTCGGGGGTGGTCAAGGTCGCCGCCGCCAGGGGTCGGGCTGCGGGGGTGGGGCCGCCGACTGGGTGGGGGCGGGTGTTCTGCCGAGCTGCGATTTCTCACGTTTGCAGCGGCGAAACTTCTCGGCGGGTTCTGGCGCTGGGGTGGCCTCCCTGCAACGACTGCCGGGGCTGCGGGTAGGGGAGGAGAGCGGACGGCGTCCAGGCAAGTCCCCCGGGGCACGGATGGGGCCTCGGAGACGCATCTTTCTCTTCCCCTTTTAGCCTTATTCCGTGGCAGGCCTAGAACGCTCCCCAGGGAGATCCCCCGCCGCCCAGTGGGCCCAGTTCAAGCTCCCTCGGGCTTCTGGAACTGCGGGCACTGGGGTGACTTGAAGGAAACTGCCCTAAAATGCAGGTGGGGGTGCCAGACTGGGGAAAGCACGCAAGGGGATCTGGCTGGCTGTCTCATCAACTTCTTCCCCTCCACCTTACACGCTTCCCTCTTCTGCTCCAGTTCTAAAGACTGTTAATGCATCAAATTAAAAAAAAAAAGAGGAAAGGGAGAAGAGAGGCAGTGTAAGGAACGAAAAGTGTGCAGACACGTCCAGAGAGGAGGCGCGGCCGGGCCAGCTCGCTCGAGGCGGTCACATCCCCTCCCCAGGCCAGCCCTGCCCCCAGCCCCTCGCGGGGAGGTTTCCTTCCTACTCGGCGCATCTTCCCCTTCTAACTCCTCTCGTACCCCTCCCACCCCCCTGTCTTTCTTTAGGACTCCAAATGGGGATTTTCGGAGGAGAGCAAACAGCGGAGCAGGGGGAGGGGACGGGCCTTCTACCGGGACGCCAGCTGTGGCTCCAGAAGGAAGGGGGAGGGGGCGCCGCGGGCCGCCGAGGGCTGGGTTCCTCTTGGGCTGAAGTTCCAACATTGTACTCCGGTTGTGTTCGATATATCTAAGTCTGTCACCCGCCACCCCCCGCCCCCCGCCCCCCCCCCCCCCCCGCCCCGGCTTTCCTCCTTTCTGAAGCTTCATCATCTCTCTGTCTTGGGGGGCAGAACCTTCTGAAACTGTAAGGTCAAAGATCTGGGAAGGGTAGAAATGTTTTCTATTTCAGTTACATTCAATGGGAATTTTTTGGGTAATTAAGACACCAAAGACAGTGCTGAACAAAAGATAGCCTCTGTCTTCAGGGGGCTTACCACCTGAAGAGGCCAGAGGAGGTCCACCGGTACTTAGAACAGAGTGCAGATTGTGAAAATTGAGATCCAGCATGCTTTGAGAAGCCAGAGGCTTTTTTAAAATTTTAATTAATTATTTTTTGGAATTAATGTTTGGCTGTGCTGGGTCTTCCTGGCTTCCAGGGCTTGCCTCTGGTTGCAATGGGGGACGTTGGGGGGGAGGGACTACTCTTATAGTGGGCTTCCCATTTCGGTGGCCCCTCTTGTTGGGGAGTCCTGGCTCTAGGGTGCAGGGGCTTCACTAGTTGCGGTTACCAGGCTCTAGAGCAGAGGCTCAGTGGTTGTGGTACAGTGTCTTACTTGCCCCGTGGCATGTGGGATCTTCCCCGACCCGGGATCGAACCCATGTCTCCTGTATTGGCAGGCAGATTCTTTATTACTGAGCCAGGAAACCCAAGAAGCCAGAGGCTTTTAAAAGACATCTTCATCCTTTTTCAGATATTAGCGTTCTGTGTTGTATGCCCCTTGAATGCAGGTGACTTTGGCTGTAGCTTGTAGTCTAGACTCTGTGCCAGCCTGGTGTATGACATCTGCTAGGTGCTAAGTAAATGTTTGTTGAATGAATGAGTGACTGACTGCAAGCACAGGAATTGTTTGCCCAGTCCAAATGGAAGAAGAGAGCGCAGTGTGAAAGTGCCTCGGACTGGTTCAAGCGGGTTTGTGAGGATTTATCTCGGATGTTGCCTTTGGACCTAAGTGCCCTTTGCCCTCTTTGTAAGCCCTGCTGTTTTTTTTTTTTTTTTAATTAAGTCTCATATGGACAGCATATAGCTGATACTTTATTTATTTTTAAAATATTTTATTTATTTTTGGCTGCACTGGGTCTTCGTTGCTGGGTGTGGTGCACGGGCTTCTCATTGCGGTGACTTCCCTTCTTGCGGAGCATCTAGAGCACAGACTCAGTAGTTGTGGCGCGTGGTTGGCCCACAGCCTGTGGGATCTTCCCGGCCCAGGGATTGAACCCGTGTCCCTTGCATTGACAGGTGGATTCTTAACCTCTGGACCGCCAGGAAAGTCCTCAGCCCCGCTTTTGACAAGTGTGCGTGGCACTCCTACTGATGGGAGACGGGCACACTTCACAGGTGGGTGGGTGATCACCTGGGTGTGGATTGAAAAACCACCTGCCCTTTGGTGGAGAGTCTGCAACCCTTCTTTTCTTTTGCCATTGGTGCTTGCTTCTCTCTTCTGTATAAGGAAGTGGGGCCTGCAAATCCCGTCATGTCATGCTAGTGTGCTGAACTGTTCTCAGCTCAGTATTTCCCCCCGAGGTTAAAATAAATACTGGAGATATGCTGCTTTTGGTTGGTGCCTGCTTATGGAGAGATTCTGCAAAAACGAGAAGGGTGAAGCCTCAGCAATATCCCCCAAGCCCCTCTGAGCAGCCCGCCTGCTGGCTTGCCTGACACTCGTGGTAAGCGCTGGGTCACTAAGTAGCCCAGGTCAGCAGAGCCATGGTTTTCGGATGTGCATTCAGCTGGCGCTTTGTGAATCTCCCATCTTCTTCGTGGGGCAGGTGGACAGGTGGGTGATGCCCCTCAAATTGGATCTTACTGTGACCCCAGTGCAGTAAATATCTCTTTGGCTTCCCTGAAACTGTGGCGCTGCTTATTCTGGCTGACATAGTCCTGGAGTTTGGAAAAGATGGTCTGGGTGCTGGAGCGATGCTTTTCCCTGCTTCTTCCCTCCTCCACCACGAGCAGCTATTGTTGCTCAGTCATGTCTGACTCTTTGCAACCCCATGGACTGCAGCACACCAGGCTTCCCTGTCCTTCACTGTCTCCCAGAGTTTGCTCAAACTCATGTTCATCATGTCAGTGACGTCATCCAACCATCTCATCCTCTGTCGTCCCCTTCGCCTCCTGCCCTTAGTCTTTTCCGGCATCAGGGTCTTTACCAGTGAGTCGGCTCTTTGCATCAGGTGGTCACAGTGTTGGAGCTTCAGCATCAGCCTGAGTGAGCCCTTGGGGCTGCCTTATTTTCAGTTTTCCGTGCATCTTGGTGAGCTGGAGAGGACCCCAGTGGTCCAGTCTGTTAGGCTTTGGAAAGGAAGAAAGCAGAAAAAATATTGTCATGTGACAGCAAGAGAAGACTGCTAGCTCTGTCTGATACAAGCCCATCACTGAGCCAGGGAATTGGCCAGGGCGGGGCGATGGGGTAGGAGAGATGGGTCTATGTAGGCTGGTGGTTGGTGCGGTGGGACAGTAATTGGAAGACTCCAATTACTTGGGTTGCTCTGCTCTCCCCTCCCCTGGTCCCTGCTGGTAAAACCGTCCACCTTTAGGGCTTTATAACTTCTCTCTCTCCTGGAAGCCTTTTCTTTACCCTTGACCCCCATTGATTGAATTGACTTGCAGAAGATTAAAGACTGAATTGGGTTCTCTCCCCTGGGGGGAAGATCCACGCCTACTGGGACTGGAGCTTCCAACACTGCCCAGGGCAGCAGGATGCTTTCAGGTCTGGACCTTTGTGCCCTTAGAGGCTGGCCAGCTGAGATAAAGAGGGTGGGAAGTCAGGTCCCCTTCTCCTTGAGACACACGATGGTTAAAAGGCAAAGGTGAGGGCTTGCTCTCCCATCAGTGCGGACTCCGTTTGGCCGTCCACTTGCAGAGAGCATCTCTGATCCCCGCCCTGAGCTGAGCAGGAGGTGGCTCCAGAGTCCCTTTCCTGGCACCTGATTGCAGGCCTGGTTCTGTGAACCTGCTGGGTGGCCTGGCCCATATGGATCCCATGGATCTCTTGCACTTTTTTCAATAACTTCTTTGAGAAATTTAAGGTGAGAAATATGATGGTTCTACGAGGAGATGGGTGAGTAACGACAGCTCGTTTGAATCCTTGTGAGAGATTCCAGTGTCACTGCTTTCCCAGTGGGATTTGCTTACTGATATTGGAGGGGTGGAGACAGTCTGGCAGCTGTCCGCCCTATTTAAACGAGTGATGGGAGTCATTTACTACCTGTTAGGCACTCCAGACCTACCCACCCCCCCTCCCCCCCCACACACATTTACCCAGTGCTTTGTCTTTACCAGACCTCCTCTTAAGCACTTTTCACACATTTTGTTTAATCCACACGGCAGCCTTTGAAGTAGGTACAGCAGTTCTCTCCATTTTGCACACGAGGAAATAGGCTCCGGAAAGTTTAGTCGAGTCTGTCTGGCTCTGAAACCCATGGTCTTTCCCTTTACCCCAGCACGTTGGTGAAGTCAGCACGCCCTCTTCTTGCCAGAGTTTCATCAGATGCACTCTAACCGACTGATCGCTGTCATCCGCACATGCTCTGGGCCACACCCAGCCCCTCCTCCTTCCCTGCTTCCAGGGACAGAGCTCAAGGCATTTAGACTAGCAGGCTTAGGCTGTTTATACTCTCCCAGCACCTTGCAAAAGGCTAGTACTTAGGAGAAATAAGGATGCTCTCTTTGCTGCTACCATT